GTAGTGGATCGAGTTGCATTGTATGTGCATTTCTCTGCAGCGGTTTACATCGTTTCTTTGCTGAGCGCACTAAAAATCTCTACTCGACGCCGTAACCTGTGGCAATGACTTCCCATTGTACCTAGCTTGGCTTCAGCTCGTTGAAAGCGTCAACTGCTTGACCGTATTCGTGTTCACTTTATCGTGAGCTAGTTTTGGGACAGCAGCTTTTTTTTGCGTCGAGCCTGGTTCATCTGTTTGGGCAGTGCGTTAGCTCATATCTTCTGAAGCACTTAGTGCGGGCTCGGTGTGTTCGACTGACGGCCTCCAGCCAAGATACAGCGGTCGGGCGCAGGTGCTTGCGGCGGGCTTTCGGCCAAGGCCGGACCCTCACCCCGAATGATCTGCTTTTGCGGTCCTCCTTGTCGCAGGGCTGCGCTTCCGAGCGCGCGAGCCTGTTCGCTCGCGGCGCGCGGGGCGCGGGCGGCGGGGCCCAGCCAGGGTGGCCCGCGGCGCCGTGGGGGCCCATGGGTGCCCTCTGGAGCCCGGGGTTTTCGCGGGGCCCTGGGGGGGGCGCGGGGCCTGGAGCACACCGGCGGCTGTGGCGAGCAGCGGGCTCCAGCTGACCCCCTCGCTGCACCCCCTTCTGCGGTTGTCGCCGGCCCTGCGCTGGGAGGGAAGCAGAGTGGGCGGGAGGCACGCTGAGCGCTGCAGGGTGCGGCGGCGGATGTTCGAGCAAGCGCGATTGGCTGATTCTGGCTGCATCGCGTGCTCCTGCGTCGCGCAAGCGGGCATCGGACAGCAGTCCTCTTGTTCTTTCGATTGCGAGAACACGAAGTGCCCAAAGTCCCACCCCGCACCTCTTGTGTGGATCGCTGCATGGAGAGCTCGGGCCCATGAGCAGCTCCGCTCAGATGACGTCCCAGTCATGCGCGAGTGCAAGGTCGCAGAGCGCGTGGTCCAGCAGATATATGGAAGGCTCCAGGAGCTGCGTAGTAATGTCGCTGCAGCTGAGACCGCCGCAGCGGCTAGAGTGGAGCGCGTTGGCGAGCCTGGCAGCGCTGAGGCGCGGTTGGCCGAAGCGATTGACGCCTACGAGGCGGCCAAGAGCGGCAGAACATGGCGTGAGTTGGATGAACTGGCGCAGAAGGCGTTGCTGGCACTGCAGAGCGTGAGAGCCGAGCAGGCGGGCACAGAGGCGGAGTTGCGCTCCGTGCGGGCGCCAGCGGCTCGCCTGGAGGCGGCGAGCACACAGATCGCATGGACGGCCAGACCAGGGGGCACCCTGCGGCAGGCCTTGCAGGCCTGGCGGCGCCAGGCCGAGAGGCAGGTGAGGGCGACCGTTCTTGAGGCTCGGGCTGCGGAGCTGCGGGCCGAGGCCTCGCGCCTCGAGAGGGAGAGGCGAGCCTGCGAGGCCTGCCGCGATGCCAGCTACTCGGAGGCCGCCGCTGCACAGGCGACGGCGGCAGCGGAGGCGGCGGAGGCTGCGATGCACACGGTGCACGCCGCACTCGAGAGTTTCGCCGCTCGCGTGTCACGCTCCGCTAAGGGGTTGACGGGGGGCTCCCAGGAGGAGCTATCTGCCAGCAATGCGGAGCTGCGATCGGCGCTCACCCGCGAGCGTCGCCGACTGCTCCACCCCCTTCCGGTGCACCAGTGCCGCCAGGATCTGTTGCAGGCGTTACGGAGGGACCATGCGGTGGTGCTCACAGCAGGCACTGGCAGCGGCAAGTCGACACAGGTGCCAGGCTTCCTCGTTGACGATCTGGACCTGAATGGCCCAGTGGTGTGTACGCAACCGCGACGTCTCGCAGCGAGGTCCCTGGCAGAGAGGGTCGCCGAGGAGTTTGACACTGAGCTCGGCGGCCTGGTCGGCTACCACGTTGGCTCCCGTGGTGGCGGTGGAGTCGACGCGCGGCGGGCATCCGCTCAGACAGCGCTCCTCTTCGTGACCGACGGTCTGCTGCTGCACAACACGCGGCTCCACGCGGGAGCCATTGTGGTCGACGAGGCGCACGAGCGAAGCAAGGACACGGACCTCATCTTAGCTCGCTGGCGCCAGCAGCGCTCCAGCGGCGCCGAGGTACCGCCGCTGGTTGTCATGTCGGCTTCCATCGACGCTGGGCGCATCTCGGGGTATCTGCGGTGCACGGCCATCGACGTGCCAGGCCGCCTGCACGACGTGGACGTCTCCTACTCGCCCCCGGACGGGCAGGGAGAGGAGGGCGAGGGCGAGCTGGACGAAGAGGTCACCGTGGCGCGCCTCGTGGACCACGCCTGCCGGCTGCTCTACGAGCGCGTGGTCGAGGCGGGCGCGCCCGAGGGCGACGTGCTGATCTTCTTGCCCGGCTGCGCCGAGGTCGAGGCCTGCGTCGCGCAGATCGAGGAGCGCGAGCGCCTGCGCTCGCCCTGGGCGGCCGCCGACCGGAGGCTTCGTTGGCAAATCATGGGAGCCTGTCTGGTGTACCCTCGCATTTCCGTTTTCAGAGGGCACAGGCGTCGATCTAGCGTCTGGTAATCGACGAGATAGCTCCGACCAGCGACGATTTGCAGCGTCGATTCATAGCATCGAATGGCGTCGATTAGCGTCGACTCGCAAGAGCCAACACCGTTGTGTGGGAGGCCCCCGTGCGTTGTCGCAGAAATAGGCGCACCCACGGCGGCGCCGGCGCCTACGCCGCCCGGGATCTCGAGGGCGAGGCCCGGCTGGGCCCGCCCACCGCGCCGCCACGCCGCGCGGCCGCGGGCCCGCGCGGCGCCGGCCCTCCAGGGGCGGCGGCGCGCCCTGGGCGCTCGAGGTCAGGGCGCGAGCTCAACGGTGCTTTGGCGATCTCGCGGGCCGTCCTCGTGCTGCCTTCGCCCTGCAGCAAGAAGGGCGGGGCGGAGGCAGAGCGAGGGGCAGCCAATGGCCGCAGAGAAGGCTTCTACGCACCGCCGCGGCTGCCTGGCCAGGGCCAGCCTGGGCCCCGGCATGGTGCATCCGCCCTCCTGGCCTCGGCCAGCAGTTCGTGCGCACCGTGCCTGGGCCGAGGGTGGCCCTGGCCAGGCGCGGTGGCGGCGTGCAGATGCTGTCCGCGTGGCCAGGGCAGCGCTCGAGTGCGGAAAAGCACGGCTCGGCTCGCGCCCTGCTCGAGGTCCCGCGGGCGGGGCGGAGGCGCTGCGCCCGACGGCGGCGCGGCCGGCTCCGCGCAGGGCGCCGCCGCGTCGGGCTCGCCAGCGGCGGCGCCGCTGGGCGCGGCGGAGCTGAGGAGGCCCTGGGCCGCCCGGGTGGGGCCCCAGCAGGTGGGGTCGGAGGGTCGCGCCGCATCGCCTGAGCTATAGTCAGAACGCACCCCCGGGAGAAGTCTGGGGAGTAGCGGCATCGGTGCCTTTTTGGTGTCCCCATGATAGTCAAAACGCACGTGTGAATGCGTTGCGTATTCGTTTCGGCGCGGTCCGTGTTTTGGAGAACGTGTCGCGTCAAACGTACGTTTTCAGCCTGCACGTTGCGCCCCGGTGCGGCTCGGTGCGGGGCCCGGATGTCGCCGTGCCCACAGCGCGGATACGTCGCCGATGCTTCGCGAAGGCATCGCGACTGCATCGGCGATGCATCGGCAGTGCATCGGCGGTGCGGCGCAATCCTCCGACCCCATCTACTCCCACCCCAGACATTCGACGTCCTGATTTTTTCAGCGCGCGGTCCCTGGAAGGCCCGACCCTTTCCCCGGGACCGGTTCTTCGCCCTGAGTCGTTTTTGGACGGTCCCGAGGCCCAGCGAGGGCTCCCGGAGGCCGAACGTAGCCAGAAACCTCCCGTCCTGATGTTTGTTCACGACGCGAGCATGTGTGGCGGCTGGGAGTCTGGAGGCGGCGCTCCGGCCGGACGCAGAGGCTCGGAGCGCCGGGCCTCGGGGCCGGAGCGGCGGCGCGGTCGGCGGCCTCGGCCGCCCCGCCCGCGTGCGATGGGCCGCGCTGCCGACGGGAGCCGGCGGGCGGCGCTGGCGCTGGCGTTTTGTCTGCTTCTGGTCCGGGTATCTCGTCCGAGGCAGCCCTGGGAGGGAGGGGCGGCAAGAGGAAGCTCCCCGAGATGTGCGTCGACGAGGATGGCGGCGCAGACCGGGAGGAGAGGCAGCTGAGCATAGACGCGGAGCGGCTTGGGCGCGCGGAGAGACGGCTCGGAGAGGAGAGGATGATGCAGAGGGGTGCCATGCAGGACTTGGCTTCCAAGGAGAAGGCTCTCAAGCGCCAGCTGCTGCAGGCAATGGGCCCCATGGCCGCTCGTCGTCTGAGCGCAAAGCGGAGGAAGATTGACGATGAGAGGGGGGAGTTGCAAGCGAGGCAGGCCGAGCTGACTGCTGAGTACCTAGCGCACCGATTGTCCTGGCAGAAACACCTGAACCAGTGTGCCAGCAAGCGGCTACAGGACGGGCTCGGGCGATCTCGAGGTGAGGTGTTGCACGCATTTCCTCTGTTCAGCGCGCTGGAGGCCGCGCGACAGGATCGCGCCATCCAGTTCCACTGCCGCAGGAACTGTGGCAGCGCCTACGTGCGGAAGGTCGTCTGCTGCACCAACATAGCGGAGACCTCCCTCACGATCCCCGGGGTGCGGTACGTGATCGACGCCGGCGTCGCAAGGCAGGTGAAGTTCGACCACGAGCTCCGCTGCAGCTCCCTCTGCCTCGTGAAGACGTCAAAGGCCGCAGCCACGCAGCGCGCTGGCCGAGCTGGGCGCGTGGCTCATGGCTGGTGCTTCCGGCTCTTCTCCTCCGAGGACTTCGACCAGCGCAGGGCCTTTGAGCCCCCAGAGATGGAGAAGATCCCCGTGGAGAGGCTGCGAGGAATAACTCGTAGCGTTGATAAGAACAGTAATTCGAATAACAGAAACAATAATACGAATGATGAGAATAATATTAACCATATTGATACACAGACAAAGGAACAGCTGAGTAAACATACGCTTTGAGTGGTCCGAGCAGATTTTTCGGACCAACGCTAGGCCCCCCCCCCCTGGCGGCGTCTACGGCGCCGCCCATGGCATGCTCCGCGCGCCAGGGCGGGGGGTCCAGTCCTCGCGGACTTCCGAACGCTTATGCTCCTGATGCTGCGCCGTTGTTTTTTATGTTTGTTTTTCTTCGTCTTCTTCTTCTTCTTCTGCTTCTTCCTCTTCTTCTTCTTCTTCTTCTTCTTCTTCCTCTTCTTCTTCTTCTTCTTCCTCAAGGCTGCTGCTGCACCTGTGCACCCACGGCTTTGATATCTCGGGGGACCTCGGCCTGCTGGATCCCCCGCCGCCTGCGGCGGTGGCCGCCGCCAAGCAGGCTCTGGTGGACCTCGGCTTCCTGAGGGAGGACGGCTGCACCCTGACCGAGGACGGGCGCATCGCGGCGCGCCTCGATCTCGGGCTGCCATGGAGCGCGAGGATGCTGCTGGAGAGCGGGGCGTTGCAGTGCACGGGCCGCGCGCTGCTCCTCGCCGCGCTGCTGGAGGACACTCAGGTGCGGTGGCGCCCGGAGCACGCAGAGTTCTTTTCGCCCAAGGGGGACCCGTTCTCGCTGCTGAACCTCTGGGCGGCCTTCGATAAGCAGCCTCGCCACGCGCGGGAGGAGTGGTGCCGGCAGCGGAGGATCTGCAGGGACGAGTTCGCCCTCGTGCGTGGCACCGCGGAGCGGCTCCGGAGGTCGATGGTGCAGCAGGGGCGCCCGGGCGGCGGCGAGGGCACCGACGGGGCGCTGATGCGCGCCCTGGTCCGCGGCTTCTTCCAGTTTTTCGCCGTGCACCACGACGAGAGGTTCCCCAGGGCAGGATACTCCGTGCTGACGCCGCTGCTCCGGGCGGCCCAGCCGGCGGCAGACGAGCCCGAGCCTGGAGATGGCGGTGGCGGCCTGGGAGCCACCGGAGGCGGCTCTGGGAGCATCGGAGACGCCTCGGCCAAGATCAGGGCCCCTTAGACGGGGATTGTGATAAACCAGGACGTCCCTCCTCCTCTTCTTGCTCCTCCTCCTCCTCCTCCTCCTCCTCCTCCTCCTCCTCCTCTCCTCCTCCTCCTCCTCCTCCTCCTCCCCCCCTCCTCTCCTCCTCCTCCCTCCTCCTCCTCCTCCTCCTCCTCCTCCTCCTCCTCCTCCTCCTCCTCCTCCTCCTCCTCCTCCCCCCTCCTCCTGCTCCTCCTCCTCCTCCTCTTGGGCACACCCGAGAAAATTGCGACCGCAGGTCGAGACATTCTCCATTATTCGGTTTCTCCGGATGGGATTTCCGAAGTCCTGGTTTTCAAGGTGCTGGTCTTCGGGGCCCTGAAGAGAACGAGCTCTGCGGTGGTGCAACGCCTGTCCAGGGTTCGCAGGGTGATGGTGGCGAGCGCGAGGGGGGCCCTGCCCAGCTGCTGAAGGTGGACCTGTGCAGCTGCTCGTCCCTGCGGTTGCAGGGGGATTGCCTGACGTCATGGGTCTTGTTTGCGCAGCTGCGTTCGACTCGCACCAGGATTGTGATGAGTTCGACTTGTGCGGTGACACCCGCGATGTTGATCGAGGAGGCGCCTGGGACGTGGCGCGAAAGAGTTCACTTGCAAGATTATCTCGATGGCGGAGACTTGTCCTTGCTGAAGAAAGCTGTATTCCGCCACGTGGGGCCCGCTGTCATGAGACGCCTTCTGCGCGACAGGTGGCAGCTTGTAAAGGAAGTGGAGCAAGTTTCTGGTGCGAGAATATCTGGCTGCCTGCGGCATGTTCCTCCGCCGTGTCAGCGCGAGAGCTGCCCATGAGTTTGTAATTGCTAGCGCGTGGGAACTCGCTTCTCTCCCTGGCCTGACCAGCCCGCGATGGCTGTCTGTCCTCCCACGGGCACGCAAGCAGTCGCATTTGAAGACTCGCTTCCCCCGATCAGACGGTTCGCTTCCACAAGTTGGAGATGCTAGAGGCATGTCGCAGTTGTGTTGCCCGTTGCCCAGGGTATACCTAGTAACATGTGCTATCGGTGGCTTTCGGCATCCTTGGAGCATGCTGGAGGGCTCCTTGCCAGTAGGGGTTTGTCTCTAGGTTTTCTCGCGGCGCCTTCAGGACCACGAGCGGTGTGGAGGGCAGAACACAGACAACAATCACAGGCTTTGCAATGTGTTTGGCGTCCTGGAGGGTTCCTGCTGGAGAGCGCCTGAGAGGTCTCCTGGGCTTTATCGTTGGACTTTGGGTGCTCTGGGAACACTTCTCATGGCCATAAGGCCATTCAGATTTGTGCCCTTCTTGGGCGTCTGCAGAGTTTTTGGCGCGTCTCGGGGCTGTCTTGGGGGCGTCTGGGCTGGCCCTCGTGTCGTCCAGGCCGCTGGGTGGGAGCAGCGGCGTCACGATTGCTCTGATGGTGGACCCGTGAGTCGTTTTGGGGGACAGGGACAACGGAGACCCATCATGGACTTGCAGCGAGAAGAATGCCCCAGGGGTTACCATACATGTGTTCGTTTGTTTCACCGGTTGAGTTCCACTGCTCGCAAGGTGTCTACTCGCAAACGCTTGAAACACACGTGTTCTTCTTGACGTGATGGATCGTGAACCCACCGTCGCGGATCCAGCCCATTTGCGAGTTCATAGTTTGCGAGTCGTGGAACGTGTTTGTTTATTGTCGGGGCCACCTCGTCGACAACCCTTTTGATGTTAACTGAGTTGTTTGTGGATGGGCGCAGTTGTTGCTACTGACCATGTGACGGTACACTTGCCCAAACAAATCACCATGCCGTTGTCTACGCGGGTGTGGCAATCATGACGGGTGTGCTGGTTGGTCTGCGCAGCTGTAGTCTATGTTCTCAGCCTCCAGTCTGCACGCGCAGGTGGCACCATCGATGAAAAGGATCCGAAAGGATTCGAACACGCATGGCGCAGCTCGCCGCCGAGTGCGGCCTCTCACGGCTGGCAGAGCCTTAGGTGGCACGCCGGGCGCCGCGAGCCGCTCGGCCGAACGGCCTGGTTGACATCGGCGGGCATCGGCGGGCTCGCCCGCGCGCCCCGTGCGGAGACACTCTCCACCCACCAAACCACCCCAACCCAACCCGGTAGGTCTGGTAGGTAGTCAGACACTTTCTCGAGCCTGCGTGGTGATGGGTCTTGTGGGTGTGGTGAGCAGCGGCGAGCAGCGGCGAGCCGTGACGAGCAGGCCAAGGGCTGTGATGGCCTGCGTCTGCCAACCCAGTGGACGACCCACGGAACAGCTGCGGAGCAACCGAGGGGGACAACCCATTGGACCACCACTGGACAATTCACTAGCCAACCCACGAGGCAACCCGCTGGGCAAGCATGGAAGAACAGCGGCACAACCTTTGTGGGCCCCGGAAGCGGCAGGGCCGTTTTTTCATCGTTTCCAAAAAAATGTCCCTTGAAAATGGAAGCGGCAAAAAAACGGCGGCCGGAAACGGCAAGAAAACGGCTCCAGGCTTGGAGCCGGAGCTGGATCTGGTCAAAAAACGGCGACGGAACCGGTGAAAAAACGGCGTCAGAACCGGCGAAAAAACGGCAAAACGGAGCCGGTAACAAAACGGCCCTGTCGTTTCTAGGGCCCACCAAGGGCACAACCCACGGAACAGGACGCCGGGCAACCACGGGGCATCTGACGGGACAGCCCGCGGGACAGCCCACGGGACAGCCCCCCGCGAGGCACTGGTGAGGCCACGGAGGGTCCGCCGTGCAGCCCCGCCTCGCCCGCGCGCACAGCACGCGCGAAGCGACAACGAGGTCCTGCATGGGGTCGCTTTTCGCGTTCGCCCTGCCGCCGCCGCTGTGGGGGGCTCTGTGCGGGGCGTCTTGGGGGGTCTTGGAGCTTCCTCGGGGCCCTCCTGCGAGCCCTCGGGGCCCTTGAGGGGCCGAACCAGGAGGCCCCCATGTCAAGAAGGGCGGGGGCCCTGGCCAGCGTCGCGCCCTGGCTGAGGCTGGAGCGTCGCCTCCTGGAGCCTTCTTGGGGCGCTCCTGGTGGCCGTCGGGGCCGTCCTCGAGCCCTTTGGGGCCCCTCGTTTTGCTCAGTTTCGCTATCTTGGGTTGCCATCCTGGGGCGTTAGGGGCCCATCGGAAGCGAAGCACTCAAAAGCATTTGGCTGCCATTGTGTTGTGCCTGATGTTGGCGTGTTGGTGTCATCGTTGAGGGGGCTCCGAGGCCCCTTGGAAACGCTATGGAGGCAGACCGTTGTTCGTGGAGGCACACTGGGCGCCAGTTTGGGCCAACTTGGATCACATTGCGACATCTTGATGGCAATCTTGGTGTATCTGCGGCCATATTGGAGCCATCTTGGGCCCAAACATACCCTGTGCAACCTCGCGGGGGGACCTATCCGGACTCAAAGCAGGATTTCCCCAACAGAGCGCGTCAAACCATCTAAGCGCCCCTCGCTCACAAGATTGGCACGTCACACTCCCATCTAAGCCTCGGCAAGAAAGGACAAGGTGAAATGACCTCCAAGCTGGCACATGATGGGCCAAGATGGTCAAATATGCCTTCCACAACGCCTCCGAGAGGCCCCCAGACCAATACAAGACGGCCTTATGTGGCCATGGGCCCTTCCAAAGATGGCCTCACAAGGCCAACGACCTTCAACTATACCCTAGCATTGTTAAATGGTTTCAGCCTTCATGATTCCTCTCTCTCTCTCTCCCGATCGGCTCTCCGGATCTCCAGATGTTCCCAACTTCTTCCACGCGATCCCCAAGCGAAGCGGGCCGAGGCGGGGTCCAGGACGGCCCCAGATCAGGAGGGGAAAGAACACACAGACACAATGAATCATCGATTTCCTCGGACAAATTGAAAGCATGTGGGAAGTGGGGGGGCAGACAGAAATCCCAACATAGGATATGTATGTATGTATGTATGTATGTATGTATGTATGTATATATATATATATATATATAGATCTATGTGGGGGATCTTGGGATTTTTGTGGATTTCTTGGTGTGCCCCTGGGCCCCCTCACCACGAAGCCCCCGAGAGGCTGGCCTCGCGAGAGGCCCCCGGCCGCCCGCCTCTCCGCGCGCTAGGCCAGGGGCGGCCTACACGGTGCAGGCGGCCAGGCCACGACCGGCCCTCGGGGGGCCCCCAAACGGGATGGTGACCGCACCGCGTGGTGAGTCGGCGGGGATTCGGGCTCCTCCTCCTCCTCCTCCTCCGCCTCCTCTCCTCCGCCTCCTCTCCTCCTCCTCTCCGCCTCCTCCTCGCTTCTCCTCGCACCTCCTCGCTCCTCCTCCTCCTCCTCCTCCTCCTCCTTCTCCTCCTCCTCCTCCTCCTTCTCCTCCTCCTCCTCCTCCTCCTCCTCCTCCTCCTCCTCCTCCTCCTCCTCCTCCTCTCCGCCTCGCTCCTCCTCCTCCTCCTTCTCCTCCTCCTCCCGCGCTCCTCCTCCTCCTCCTCCTCCTCTCCTCCTCCTCCTCCTCCTCCTCCTCCTCTCCTCCTCCTCCCTCCGCCTCCTCCTCCCTCCTCCTCCTCCTCCTCTCTCGCTCCTCCTCCTCCTCCTCCTCCTCCTCCTCCTCCTCCTCCTCCTCCTCCTCCTCCTCCTCCCCGCACGGTTTTGGGACTCGAGTCCCCTCTCCGAGGATGTCTTGGGCGACAGGGGCCTCCACGGTCCCAGGACCGCGCTGTGGCGCACCGTGCGGTGAGGTCTTGGGGGACGTCGAGGTCACCGCACGGTCTGTCTCACCGCACGGTCTGTCACCGCACCGTTTCGGGTCTCCAAAAAGGAAAGTCGGGGCTGGACAGAACCCCCAACAGTGACACGTCGATTAGTGAATTGTCCGTTTTCGGTTCTCGAGAGGGCTCCGTGGCCGTCATTTTCCAGGCTTGCGCCTGCCAGGTTTGGGCCTCAGGTCGTTTTCACTAAACCACGTTTTACTAAAGGGGGGTCTGTCCATCCCCGAGAAAGGGGTGGAAGTGCTGCAGCGTGGCCGGAGGGAAAGAAAGCTGCCTGTCGGCGGCGAGCGAAGGGATTTTTCCATGCTACATGTTCGACCATGAACCCCTTGCTAACGCGAAATATCCGCCGATGACCGCCGAAGACCGTGCCTGGCCGCGGTCCAGACCGCCGATGACCGCCGAAAGACCGCCGAAAACCGCCGAAGGCCGCCGAAAACGCGGTTGTTTCGGCGGTCTTCCGGCGGTTTTCAGAGGCCAAGATGCGTGGCGAGAGGTCCATGATCGAACGCGAAATCCATGACCACCGTCTGGTGGGTCGACCCTCGGGGACGTCGGCGGGCAGCGGATGTGAAGCTATTCGGGCCCCTGCGGGGCCAAATATGTCCATATCCATCGCCCGCTGGTGCACCAGGACGTCGGTTCTCAGGCAGTGGATATGGTCGGCGGCGAGCGAGGGGGGAAAGAAGAAGGAGAGGGCCTTCTCAGAAGGTGGCGGGACGTTTCAGAAGCCCTCGCGCCTTCCGAAAAGTTGTTCCTTGTCTTCGGGGAGGGCTTAGAGAACTTCTCAGAAGGCCAGGGGACTTCCGAGCCTTCTGTGAAGGCCTTCTCCTTCCCACTTCCCTCCCTCGCTCGCCGCCAAATTTGGAAGAGGTGGCCCGTTTAGCCACGCACGCCCAGAGGTGCTGGTGGGACTCCAGGAACCCAGCTGGGGAGCGCAGCCATCCTGACACGCCCCAGCGTGCCAGTGTGGTAGGCTCGGTGGCGGATTTCCGGTCTTCGAGCTCTCGCTCATATACGCGTGGGGCACGGGCCCCGAGGTGCGGAAGGCCATCGCGGTCCTGGCGCCCGCCCTGCAGGCTGCGAGGGAGGCCTGCCTAAAGCCGACGCAGTGGTTCTGCCCATACCCGCACGTGCGCTGCCTGCTTGGCCCGCGGAAGCTCGAAAGCCCGCGATGCGCTGCCGCCCCAGGCGCCCATGTCCTCGGCGCACCCGTCCACCAGGCGGGAAGAGACCCGAGCGCGGGCGGCGCTACGGCGCCTGGCACCGCGCCAGCGCCTCGGGCAGCTGCGGAGGAGGTCGAGGTGCTGCCGGCAAGGCTGCCGGAGCAGGGGAAGCCCCGGTCCCAGGCAGCATCGAGGAAGAGAAGCCTGCAGCAGCATCCGAGTGAGGGGGCCCCGGCGGTCTTGTCTTCTCCCTGCGCTCGTGGCTGGGTCGATGGGGGCCCGGCCTCCGGGGCCTGCACGCAGGGGCTGCGCAGAGGGGCTGCACATGGGGGCCCCGCTTGGGAGCTACACGCTTGGGCCACGCGCGTGGGCGGTTCGCCCGTGCCGCCGCCCCCTTCGCTCTCTTGCCCGCAGGTGCGGGGTGTTGCGAACATGTCCAGAGGTCGGCGCAGATTTCTTGTGTTGGCGTTGGGCCCCCCTCGCAGCGCCTCTGGCGCCAGGGGCAGGGAGGGGGGTCCAGCGCTGATCAACGATATCCGCGCGGGCCTCCAGAAGTGCATGTTTCTGCAGATTTGTCTTCCCCCACAGCACCCAGCGCCTGTGAGTTGGATGTCGCGCTGCCTGCGGCAGAGGCCGCCAGGGGTGGAGCACCTGCGCCAGCAGCACCCGCAGAGCGCGCGCAACAGATGGATGAGGATGGCACGGGTGCCAAGATGTCGGCACCCGCTGCCGCTGCTTATGCAATGCAGTGCGGCGGGCCAGCGGTCGTTCGGCACGTTGGGGACCTGCGCGATTGGGAGGCGGCGTCCCGAACAGCAGTTGTGTTCCGTGCTGCTGGTGTCAGCAACGAAGAGATTGAGCACGTTGCGGTGGGCGCTCGAGCATTTGGTGAGGGTCCTGTGCGCCACCTGATTTTCGGCCGAGAGGAAGAATGCCAGGCCTTCCTAGAGAAGGTGCCGGTGCTTATCGTGCGAAATCAATGCCCTGCAGACCGGCAGTTGCGCGCAGAGGTCGCGTTGGGATCCAAAGACCTCTACGAACCGTACCTTGACACACGTCTGCGGCGCCTCTTCAAGCACTTGAAGTTCGAGTGGAAGCCGCACTTGTTAGTGGCCACTGTACAGGCCGTCGACGGGGTACAGGTCGACGAGCGCTTGCAGTTTGATGCCTGGTTACGGCGAACGAAGCATTTTCACCCCAGCATTGTCAAGGCTTATGGCAGTTGGAGAGATTTAGCTGCGCTGCGATCACGAGCAGAGGCTTCTGGGGAGACTCGGATTCATGTTGAGCCTGGCCGCTTCCTCGTGTATGGCTCTAAGTGGGAGCGTGATCGCGTAGCAGGTGAACTCAAGGCAGCTGTCGAGCATCTGGCATGCAGAGCTGAAAGAGTGGTGCCGTTCGGAGAGGGACTGGCTGCCCTGGAGGGGCCAGGCGGCTCGACCCTGGAAAGGCTGCGCGCTGACTTCCCGACTGTAGACTTCAGGCTCGATCTCAACAGGCGTCGTGTGCACTCTGTTGGGCCCGAGCCTGCCTTGTCGGAGGCGGTCGACTCTGTACACAGAGCGCTTGCGCAAGTGGACCTCGACCCCGGCGCCCCGTGCGCGTACTGCTGCAAGCCCGCGCACGGAGCGACTCAGTTGCAGTTTTGCGGCTGCCGGTGTTGCCGACCGTGTTTTGAGAAGCACTACCTGGACGCTTGCCGTCGCTGCGGCGGACCCGTGCTCGTCTCGGATGTGGTCGAGCGTCTCGGCGACAGGTGCGACGATGCCATACGCCACCTGTACACCCAGTACTTAGGAGCGAATTGTGCACCTGGCGAGCAGATCTCTCTCTGCACAGGCTGCTTGACCCCATTCCTCGCAGCGGGCTCAGCGTCACATGGAGGCAGGTCCTGTCCCGGATGTCAACTTGCCGCCGAGCGCGCAGGATACGTAGATTTGCGTGTTGACGCCGATGCATCAGGTCCTCGGGAGCTGGAAGAGTTGGAGAAGATCTGCCACGTCAGCGACCGCGGGAGTGGTTGGAAGCGCTTGAGCGGTCACGCTAACGACCTTGCAGCAGCCATCCAGCGTTGCTCGCAATGGGCCAGACGGGTGAAAGAGGAGCTGCCAATTCCAAAGCACACAGACGAGTTTGTAGCTGACGAGGTCAGGCGGCGAAGGTTGGGTCAAAAGTACCGAGTACACCTGCGGGCGACACCTCGCCGTGTTCAATTGGACGGTTGTGCTGTGCGAGTGGATGAGGCGAAGCAGGCGTTGCAGGAATTGTTCCTTGGGTTGCAATGCCTTCCGGTGCCGATAAAAAGCGATCAGCAGGATCTGATCAAGTTGTTCGAAACGAGCGATGTGCACATCAAAGTTACCAGCGGCATCGTGAATGTTGTCGGGTTCCCACCGCGAGTGCAAGAAGTCGCTGAACAAGTCGAGGATGTTCTAAAAGGGCACACAGCCCTCATCGATTTGCCACGTTTCGAAAGCTGCCCCGAGCTGCCCTGGAAGTGCATCGAACCTTCGTTTACCATATTCGACCAGCGGGTACGCTTCATGAGCGAGAGCGGTCGCCGAGCACTTCGACTGTGGGGTCCTGTCGACGCCGTGGAGAAAGCTCGAGACGATGTCTCAAGTCTACTGGGTAGATTGGAGTTCAGAACGATTGAAGTTGCGAAAGAGAAAGTTTGCCACGTGATAGGGAAGAAGGGCGCTAGCATCAAGCGTCTTCAAGACATGGGAGCCACGGTTCTGTTCAAGCAGTTTGATTGTTGCATTCATGTCGGTGGTGCGGCTGATCACCTTCAGGCAGTGACTGCAGCCATCAATCGCCTATTGAACCGCGTCTGACCTGTGGAATCAAAATACAGGTGTCTTCGTTTGCCTCTGCCGTCTCGTCCATGTTACATGTTCCCATTGGTCATTCATTCTGCCTTTCATGTATATACAGATGTAGATATCAAAGTGAGGAAGCCGTATGGTCATACACTGTCCCTGGGCGCGCGGGTGAAGTGGGGTGTCACGGTGCGGATTGTTGCTGCTGCGTTGGATTCTCACTATTGAAGAACAACTATTGACGATCCCTCCTTCGGTTTCAATTGGGGTGCGCCTCCCGGGGCTCGCACCCAGTGGGTAATCATAGAAATTTTGGGAACTAAACTGGGTTGTTGGACCCGGGTTTACAGCAACAACAACAACAGCAACAGCTCCCGTTTGATATCTCCCGACAATTTATTGAGAAATCGCGCTCTCGCGAGGGACGTCCTCATAATGTACTTAGCAATCGCGCTCTCGCGTGGAACTTCCTCGTAATTGACTGCACCCCCGTGCCCCCAACCTCAGGGATTACGCTCTCGTTTTGGATGTCCTAACGATTTATTTGGGAATTACGTTTTCGCTCGGAACTTCCTGGCGATCCGTGTTGGATTGGTGCTTCAACCCGCTCGACCAGGCCGTCTGGGCCCTCCCGCCCGACTCGTGCTCCATTATTCGCCCTCCCCTTTGTATCTTCCCTCCGCCTTTCCTTCCACCGTTTTAGGGGTTGCGCCAACGACACGTGGCAGGTAAGTAAGATGTACCCCAAAGCGGGGTACGATCGAAGACGAAGAGGACGGGTACCTATGGTTCGGTATAGTCATGTTGCCGACACCCGTGCCAACCAGAACGAGCAGTCTTAAATTGATTGTTGCTGTTGTCGTTGTTGTTAGGTTTTCGTTCCTAGAAAATGATTGTTGTTGCTCCCCCTGCCCGGTAACCGTTGTGTCTGTTCAATAGAAGTGCTCCGCCCGGGGCTCGCACAATGTCATTTACAATGGAAAGCCGGGTGACACCCAAACTGCGCCCGTGGCCCCTGGTTTACAACAGCAGCAACAATATCAACAGTTGTTCCCGCCTGCTACTTCCTCACGCCTGCTGCTTCCTCACAAGTCGCGCGCTCGCGCGGGACTTCCTCACAATGTATGCAGGAATCGGGATTTCGCCTGCGACTTCCTCGCACTTGATTCAGACGCCGCGCCTTCGACACGCAGGATCCGCGCTTTCGCACGATTTATTTGGGAATCGCGTTATCGCTCGAAACCTTTTCGCGATTTATGCAGGACGCACGCTTCAGCAAACCGCATGCTCTTTGTCCCTTCCTTCCACTCGTCCTCTCTTCCCCTGCCTTAGGGGCTGCGCGAAATAGACGTTGCAGGTAAGAAAGACATACCCTGAAGGGGGCACGATCAAAGACGAAGAGGGCGGGTATCGAGGGTTTGGGATATACGCGTTGCATGTCACGCGAACAGGTAAGAACGAATTGTCTGAAAATGATTGTTGTTGCTGCTGCACTTCCATGATCGAAGAAGGATAATCGTTGGTCCCCCCTTTCCGGGACACATGGTGTTTTCCAATTGAAGGGCCCTTCCCGTGACTCACACCTTGTTCGTCATCAGGGAAAGTCTTGGGTCTCATAATTCGGTTGTTGGCCACAAGTTTACAGCAGCAGCGGCTCTCACTTGATATTTCCTCCCTCACACTTTCTTCCCAAATCGCGCTCTCGCGCGGAGCATCCTTGCAATGAATGACCAATCGCGCTCATGCAGGACGCACGCTTCAGCAACCCGCCTGCTCGACCTGGCCCCTGTCCCGCCCTCCCGACACGCCTGTTAGGGTCTACCCGCCCTGTTTGCCCGTCTGGTTCTGCCTCGTGTTTTCTGTTCCGAGCCCCCTCCTGCTGCGCTCTCTCGTGCTCCATCCTCCTTCCCCCTTGTCCTTTCCTTCCATCCGTCCTCTTCCCCTGCGGCAGGGGCTGCACGAAATACACGTCGCAGGTAAGAAAGACATTACCCGCAAGGGGGTACGATCGAAGACGAAGAGGGCGGGTATCGAGAGTTTGGGATACACGTGTGGAGTAGGGTTCTCACTTCTAAAGAAGAATTGTTGTTGATCTCCTCTGCCCAGTAACCATTGTATCTGTTCAATTAAAGTGCTTCTCCCGGGGCAGGCACAATGTTTTTAACAATGGAACGCTGGGTGTCACCGAACTGCGCCCGTGGCCTCCGAGTTTACAACAACAACAACAACAACGACGACAACAACAACAACAACAACAACGGCTCCCGCCTGATACGTCCTCGCAATGTGTTCCCAAATCGCGCTCTCGCGCCGGACTTTCTCGCAATGTGTGCAGGCATCGGCATTTCGCGTGGGCCTTCCTCGCAGTACGCCGCTCCCTGCCTTGTGGGCTGCACGAAATTCACGCTGCAGGTAAGAAAGACAGATGCCCCCGAGGGTGTACGCTCGAAGGGTCTACAGCGCCGCGGTCGTCACGGCACGGGCCTGCCGTCGGCCGTGGGCACCGGGGCCCGAGAGTGGCCTGCGGAGGCCCAGGCCCAGAGACGGTGGTTGCCGTGGTCTTGTCAGGGCGCTGGAGCTCGCAGCTTCGCGCTCTTGGGGCACAGCTCGGGGGCCAGACAGGGTGACGGCTATGAATTCGGCGATGATGATGCTGGTGCTTCTTGTGATGATGATGATGATGGTGATGATGATGATGATGACGATGATGATGATGTTGCTGCTGCTGATGATGGTGATGGTGATGGTGGGATAGTGCTGGTGATGGTGCTGGCGATTGTGGTGGTGATGCTGAAAAGGATGATGAAGAGGAGGATGAGGATGCTGATGATGGTAATGATGATGATGATGATGATGATGATGATGATGATGATGATGATGATGATGATGATAATTATTGTGATGATGACGATGATGGTAATGATGAAGATGCTGCCGAAAATGATTATGATGCCGATGCTGATGAAGATGTTGAATGTGCTGATGTTGAGGATGGCGAGGGTGGTGGTGATGCGGATGAGGGCCACGATGGTGACATGAATGAGGATACTAAAGATGAACTTAGAAGAAACGAATCATGAAAATGGTGATGTTGTTTGTGATGGTGATGATGACGATGATGATGCGGATGGTGATGATGATGATGATGATGATGATGATGATGATGATGATGATGATGATGATGATAATGATGATGATGATGCTGATGCTGATGTGGATGATGAGTGTGATAAGGAGGGAGCAGGAACAAGGATCATCGAGTATATAGCACACCGAAGGGTTGCGGGCTGGGTCGCGGGTGGGTTGTGGGTGGGTCGCGGTTTTGTCGCGGATGGTTTGCGTGTGCGTCGCGGGCTGGGTCGCGGGTGGGTCGCGGGTGGGTCGCGGGTGGGTCATGGGTGGGTCACGGGTGGGTCGCGGGTGGGTCGCGGGTGGGTTTTGGATGGGTCGCCGGCCGGGTCGCGAGTGGGACGACAACAACAACAACAACAACAACAACAACAACAACAACAGCAACAACAACAACACACAACACACAACACACAACACACAACACACAATACACAACAACAACGCAACAACAATCCGCACCGCCGCGAAACCCCACGTCAGCCACCCACCCAGGGACAGTGAATGATCATTCGGCCACCTCACTCTGATAATTAAGGAGGACGGGGGGAGAGGCAAGGAGGATTCGAGGAAGATGGGGAGGATTGAGGAGGGGAAAGTGAGGACGAGCAGGGAGGGAGAACGAGGATTAGAAGGATGAGTAATGAGGAGGAGAAAGGGGGGGATTGCTGCGAGGAGGCGAGAGGGAGGAGTGAGAAGAAGAGGGGAACAATGAGAAAGGAGGCGGGAGGAGCCAGGGAGGGATAACTGGAATTGGGGTCGGGGAAGAGGGAGGATGGATGCACAAAAAGGGGAGAGGGATAAGGGAGGTGGCAGGGGAATGGCGGGATGAGGGAGAAAGAGGACGTGGAGGAGGGAGGAGCATGGAAGAGGGAGCCCGCAAGGAATAGAAAGGTGGGTCGGAGCTTGGGAGGAGGATGTGGAGGATGAAGTGGTGGAGCGGGAGGCATAATCAGAGGAGGCAGGAGGGGCAGGGGGAGGGAAAGTAGGACGCCGTCTGTGTCATCATGCGTACTCCAGATTTCGTAATAAAGGGAGGGGGGTCTCATTTCGGGGGGGGTCTCGTCCAGGCTACCTTGGAGGGCCTGGGGGGGTCTGGGGACGATGTTTTGGAGGGTTCTCCCACGGGAGAGTCTGAAATGGCTTGTCTTGGAGGGTCCAGACCTCCTCCCTTTTATTGCGAAATCTGGAGTACCTTCACGCGCCCGGTAGGGCCCGCGGCGGTCGGATGCAAAAGCGCAGGATGCGTCTGATGTGCAGCTGCGGGCACGCACGCTCTCGGCCAGCGAAGCGAGCGAGCGCACCGGGGGGAGGATGGCGCTGCGCGGGCCCGGGCGGGAGAGAGGACCTTCCCAATCCAAGTTCCCCCTCCACAGACCCCCACACCGATTCATTGTCGTTTCGGGGGAGCGTAAGACCTGGGTTTGCCAGGACTCGGGTTCGCCATCGTTTTTTGACGACCGCGCCTCGGATTTTGACGAGGAGGAGTTTTGTGGGATGTCTGCAGCGGGAGGCCTCGTCAAAATGCAGGCTCGGCCTCGTCATTTTTTGACGACCTCGTCGGGGATTTCCGAGTCCCCCGTACCCGGGTCTTACGTCTCCCCGATCGTTGAGAGAAATGCCCGTGGGAAGGCAAGGGATTGAAACTTCGGAACTGTGCCAGAAAGCCATTTTCGGACACCAGCGCCGCGAATCACCGGCCCGAGCGGGAGAGAGGACCTTCCCATCCAAGCTCCCTCTCCACAGACCCCCACACTGATTCGTTCTCGTTGAGGGAAATGCCCGTGGGAAGGCAAGGGATTGAAACTTCGGAGTTGTGCCAGAAAGCCGTTTTCGGACACCAGCGCCGCGAATCCCCGCCACGACTGCGGACAATCCAGAATCGT